CCCCCTTCCACACCTGCCACCAGGGCCTGTCCACGCCACACTGCGGGCTGTACCAGAGCCCACTCCGTGCCACTGAGCCTCCCAGGAGGGCCCTGCCGGGGCTCCTCCAGCGCACCCCTCCTCTGCATTACCCACAGCACCCCTTACTCTCCACAGGACCACCTCCCCCAGTGGGAGCCCCAAGCCCCAACGCCTGGTGTGTGTCCCCCATGGGTCTCAGGCCCCACCTGCCCCTCTGTCCTGACCGCACCGTCCTGGGCTCAGGGCCTTAGCCCCACCACAGCCCCAGCCAGCCACATCCCCTTTTACCTGTTTCCTGCCACCCCCAGCCCCAGGAGGACCTGTCCCCCGGGGCCTGAGGCCAGGGCACGAGTCGCCTTCCCTCCCCCTCCCATCCAGGTCCCACTGTGGTTCTGGAAGATCGGGTCGTATTTCCTTTAGCTTTCACAAAACTCACTGAATTCTAGAAGTTCTGTTTCCTCTCCCACGGCAGCTCTCCAGCTTGGGACGGGGAGAGGGGCCAGGCCACAGCCGCCTCCCACATCTGGGAACTCCCGGGCACCAGGACCCTACCCTCCAGGTGGCTCCCGTGTCTGTGACACGTCTGCCTGTAACTGTGGCCCCTGGTGGGCCACCTGGGTCCTCCTCCCTCTCCAGGACCTGAGCTGAGCCCCCAGGCTGGGCGGTCACAGTGGGGCTCTGGTGGCACGTCCAGACTCTCGGGGAGGCTCCAGTGGCCCTGGCCCCCCGCCCACCCCTGGCCACTCAACCTTCTCTGGCTTCAAACCTTGGACAGGAGACCTCAGGGCTCCTGCACCCGGGCCAGGTGACCTGCGTTTGGGCCAGACAGCTGGGTGGTGGGGACGCTGCAGCATGTGTACCAGCACCCCTGGCCTCCATCCCACCAGACACCAGAAGCACCAGCTCAGCAGTGACAGTCAGAGCCCAATGACACTGCCAAAGCCCCTGGGGACACCATGGCCCAGAGAGAACCCGAGAACCACCAGCTTAAACTCCCTGGAAGCTTGTGTTTCCTCAGCTGTAACACTGGGGGAGGGGAGATTCTCCTGCAGGGAACTTGCAGGGAGGTAGAACTTCCCGCCTTGCAGGTAGGTGTGCCTGCCACCCAGCGGTGTCCTGGGCGTCCACCCACAGTGTGCACCCCAGGGCTGTGACTTCTCCTCTGGAAGGTACTTAGCCTCCAGGGAAAAACGCAGGTGTGCTTCCACCCTTCAGTCCAACCAGGCGGCGACCCGGGGTGGCTTTAGATCTGAGCAGGAGATGCAGCAGCTGCTCCTCCAACACTCAAAGGCATCAGAACGGAGTAGAGAGGCCAGGGGCCGGGGGGAAATATCTGCAAAACACACACCTGGTAAAGGACTTAGCACCCTTCCAACTGACAATCGGAGAACAAACCCCAGTCGGCAAAAGACACCTCCCCAGAGTCCATGGACCGGGGACACCAAAGAGGCTCCATGTCCACATCACGGGGACACAGAGACAGAAACAACAGGGGCCTCCACACGCCAAGCAGGATGGCCACGGCCCACAGCGCTGCCACCTCGGGTGCCCACGAGGACAGAGGGCGCCGCTGGGGAAGGACAGAGAGGACAGTGTGTGGCAAGGCAGCCCCGCGGCTCTCCGCAGCTTCCTGCACCTAAGTGTGGTCCGGCCACACGACCCAGCCGAGGCGCCCCGTGGCCGTCACCCAAACAACCTGGGGCTCTGATGTGAGGTCGCCTCAGTGTCCACTCACGACTTAGGGCGCTGCAACCGAGGACTGCTCTGAAACCACAGCCCACTGAGTTTCTGACCACATTTTCTTGCACACTGTTTATATCTGCGTGTGGGTAGGCTGTTAAGGACTAGGAAGAGGAATTCCTCCCTGCTCTTCTCCAGGGAGGGCCAGAACCTGCGGGTCAGCCCTCTGGCCCTGCTACTCTGAGCTCTCCGGAAAACCCTGACCAGGTCATCAGTCTGGGTGTCTGATGTCCAGGCACGGGGACGCAGGCCTGGGCCTCCAGGAAGCAGAAGGGACTTGCAGGGCAGGTGGCTGGAGCTGATTGTCCGGGCCCTTCTCATCCAGGGCCCCCCACAGAGAGCGGGTTTCTGCCTCTGGGGACTTTTAAACAGCCACTGTCTGGGCCTGGCCCCGCCCCTGACCGGCAGGACCTGTGGGCCTCTGCCCCAGGTCACAGGACCTTGTGAGGAGGGTTTAGGGGTTGTCCCTCTGCACCAGGTCCTCTGACCTCCCGGAAGCTGAGCTGGGTTGCCAAGCACTGGCCTCTGATCCCAGAGCATCTGCGGGGAGCTCTGGGGACTTGAAGCGTCCCCTCCTTTTTTCCGAATGCCCACAACTAGTCACGGTTCCCTTTTCTAAGCCTGGCGGCACATGACCACGGCAGTGGGGAACCCGCTGGGTTCACTCTCAGACACTTCCTGCACCGGCCCCGGCACGCCCAGCTCCCGGCGCCAGCTCCCTGCTCAGGACAGGACCTTTGTCCCAACAGATCCCACCCTGCCAGTTGGGGTGGAGTCAAATGCCCACAGGCTCCTGGACCTTGAACTTCATGGGCCATCCCATCCCCCCCACACCTCCCCCTCCCCTCCAGGGTCCTCAACTCAGGAAACAGAGTCACATCCTCCCCTGAATCCGCCTCTTCTTTCTAACAAAGAAGGAAGTGGCGATGACGATGACCGTGCAGCTGGTGGCCGGGCAGGCCAATGTCCGTCCCTGGTTACTCCCCGTAGGCAAATGAGCAGAAACTCTGACCATCCAGAGTCAGGGCCAGGAGGGCGCGTTGCCCCGGCAACGGGCCTGCAGAAGCACTGGCAACTCTCAACTCTCCATTATTCAACTTCATTACTCAGTCTGTGCACCCAGCCTTCCCCTCCTTCTCTTCCCAGAGGACCACACGGAAGACAGGAGGACTTTCCAAATCCAATCCTTCCTCAGCACATGCTTCTGAGACCAATTAGGGTTTGCGACCCTCTGTGTGCAGCGGGCACCAGGCACCCCACTCTGGAGAACAGAGGCAGGCCCAGCAGCTGGCCCCACTGCTGCCTTCCTGCCCGCTCTGGTCATCACTGGACGCTCTGACTTCTGGGATCCGTGGGGCATCCAGACGCAGCCGGACTGCCCCGGCTCTCACAGCACACATTGGTTCATAAAAGCCAGGGGAGAAGCTCTTCATGCTGGGGACCTGAGGCCGTCCACTACTGCAGGCCTGTGTGCCTCACATCACAAGAACATGAGTCACCTATGAAAACCACAGCCGTCCAGAAAATTCCACGTCCTTGCTACCGTGAGAAAGTCTTCTTTATCTGGTTCTTTGGGGTCTCAAGCCAATATCAGCCCCTCACAGGCCTCTGGGGCACTCTGTAGGCATCCTAACCCCCAGGGATGCAGACAGGACCCCCACACAGCAGGTGCCCCAGAGACTGCAGCCCGCAGGCAGGCGCGTGCCCGAGTCCGGCCACTCAGGAGGCTGAGGCAGGAGGGTGCCTGAGCCCGGGAACTCCGGGACAGTCTGAGGCCCCAGAGACCCTGTTTCAAAAACAACAACAGACTGGAATGAATTTGGAGAGGACGCCATAATTGTTGAAAGGGACAAAAGGGAACTGAAATGACTTCTGGTGGGGACCATGGCGATCACAGGAGGAAGGGATGGCAGAGAAGGGCGGCTGCCACTTAGAGACTCATAGGAGACTTGACCCCGGGATGAACACAGGCAGGGTTAGGTCCTCCAGTGCACAGCCTGGGGGAGTGGCCACCGCAGCTTACTTGGGAGCACTCAGGAGACCCAGTGGAGGTGACAGGGGCTGCCCTCAGGACACTAGGAGAGTCTGGCTTGGTGAGAAGCTTGGGGGAGGGCAAAGTGCATGGGGGACATGCCCCCTGGGGTGGGTCACAGGCACCTTCAGTGGACACCTCAGACTGCAAGGTGGTACCAGACGGTGGTGTGCGGTGTGCCTTCTCTGTGCTCTGCAACGTGGCCGCCTAGTACCAGGGCTGACCTGCGCATTTTATGCCCTGGGCCTCCTCTGCGTCACCACCTCTGAGCTTTGGAGCTAAATATGGGACACAAGTATAGCAAACCCCGGGAGGAGGAATGTTTGGGGGACACACCTCCCCTGGGAGTAAATATGTCACCTGTATGCCCGGGGCACATCACTAGGAATACGGGTGTTCCAGGAGAGAGTAATGGGGCCACAGGCATCCCAAGGGGTCCACTACCAGGGAGGCCCGGGAAGAGCTTTCAGGGGAGAAGTCAGGCTAGGGTGGCTGAGGGAAGTCGCTCTGCACCCCCATGGACGGTTCCTTCCCAGAAGCCAGCCCTGGGCCCCCTGCCCTACCGCAGCAGCCCCCTCCTGTCCTGGGCAGGCACCTCCCACCTCCCACCTCCCACCCACCTGGAATCACACTCTAAGGCGATGCCCCAAGCAGGAACCTCAGGCCCCAAACAATGGGAAACTCAGGAATGCAGCTGTGGAGAGGCCCTGGGGCGGCAGTACGCTCAAAGCACAGGACAGACGCCAGAAGTTGTAGTCCTCCCAACTCTAAAAAAGTTTAAAATGTTGGCGGGAGGGAGTTTTCCAAATTATTTTCTTGGGTGCACAGCATAAAATCGGGGGGCCTCAGGGCCTGTGGTCTGCGAGCCCCGCGCCCCTCTCCCGCCTCCTCCAACCGGGTCACAGGCATCGCGCAAAAAAATCACTGCGGCCCCAGCTGGTGTCCGCCGGCTCTGCGCACAGAGGCGTCCAAGGCGCGCTCACGGGCAAGCTGGTCGCACCACATGGCCGCTCGACCAGGGTGGACGCGGGGACCCACGCTTGCTGAGTCCGCCCGAACCCACGGGGCTCTCCCAGCGGCCTCTAAGGTCTCAGGACGACGAAGGGCCTGTCCCAGAGGTCGCGGCGGGCAGCGAACCGGGCGGAGGCGCGGGCGCGGGTCTGGGGACCTGGGGACCTGGGGACCTGGGGACCTGCGGCGCACTCACCCTCCTTGGCCTTCTTCTTCCTCGCCAGCGTGCCGCCCAGCTTGCCCAGGAACGACTCGTCCTTCTTCATCCTGGGGGCGCGCGGGGCGGGCGGGCGCGGCGGCGCGGAGGACATGGGCCCAGTGCGAGCCGCCAGGTCGCCGCTCGCTCGCCGGGAGGGGCCGGGAGGGGCCGGGAGGGCGCGGCCACCGCCGTCCCCGCCCGCGCTGTCCCCGGCGGGCGTCCCCGCCCCGCGCCGCACGGTGTCACCAAGTCCAGCTGATAAGAGCCACAGCTGGCGTGGCGGGGTGGAGGGTGGCCCGGGACCCAGCGCCCGCGCCCGGCACAGCCGCCCCTTTGTGCTGCCCCTTTGTGCGGCCGGCCTCCTGGAAGCCGCCGGGAAGCCCAGGCGCAGCACGCGGCTGCACACACACGTGTCATTTCGGCCAAGGAACCTCCAGAAACCGGGCGCGTGGCGGGGGACCTTTGCGGTCAAGAACTTGGCGGGCCAGGGCTGCCAGGCACACACTGTGACCTCCTAGTCAACCTGTGTTGCTGGAACAGGTGTGGTGGGGGGACAGGTGTGGTGGGAGCCCGGGGTGCTCCCCCAGGGTGAAACCTGGGCCACCCTGGTGTGGGGCGCCAGGAGGGAAGAGGGAGTCATCACCGAGGCCCAGGAAAAGGGACTCTACCCCCAGAGGAGCCAGGAAAGATTCCACCTGTGACATCTCCACCCGTTGGGTGGGCACAGCTGACTGGCTGGCTGCCCATGGGCATGGGAACGGATGCAGGGACACAGGTGAGGAGGAGAGAAGGGAATTGCCCGGAGATGCTCATGGGTGGAGCAGCCCAGAGCTGAGGGAGGAGGAGGAGGTAAGGCCACATCCTGCCCAGCCTAGAGGATGACGGGAGGCCCCTCACCCAGAGATAGGGGATATCAGGGGCAGGACAGGGGCGAAGCTGTCTCCACCTAAACCGTCTGGGTTTGTGGGTGGAGGTTGCTGTCTCCCTTTGTGCCCGCTCAGGGCCTGGCCACACAGTCTGCCCCTTCAATTCCATGCAGTGAGCATTCACCCGGCCCCAACCCCCTCCTGGGAATGAGCAGAGCCTGGCCTCCTGGAGTCTGCAGAGGAGGAAAATGGTACCACCCACAGTAACACAGATGCCCAGCATGCCCATGGTGTGAGACAAGGGTGGAGCGGTGGCCAGGGGCCAGTGGGCCAGTGGGCACGGATCCCAGGAGGAGGAAGAGAGGGCTGGTACAGGACATCCAGGGCTTGGAGATAGAAGGATTGTTAGGGAAGGGACATTTGGTCTGGGACCAGGATGAAGTGACCTTTTCCCTGTACTCAGTAGAGGAAGAGAAGGCCACCAGGCCAAGGGGAGGGAGAACAGCCAGCCAGCCCCCTTATCTTCGGGGAGCCTCCAAGACCCCCTCTGCATGCCTGAATGCACCTCTGTATATTATCTTGTTTTCTGCAGCTTTGCCACAGAGGACCAGAATTCATCTGCCGTCCTGGGTGCCCCCTTTGCAGCACTACTATTGTGCTTAGGAGCCACAATTAAGTAAAATAAGGGCCACCTGGACACCAGCACTGTGTTACCATGATGGTCAATGCGACATGACAGTCTGCTGAGATGGTTGCCGACAGGCAGGTAGCATATAGAGCGTGGATACACTGGACAAAGAGATGATTCGCAGCTCTGCCAGGAAGGAGCAGGACAGTGCCAGATCTCATCCCAGACACAATTTAAACTTACAAATTGTCTATTTCTGGAATTTTCCATTTAGTATTTTTGGACCACAGTTGACTTAAGATAACCGAAACTGGGGATCATGAAACCATAAACATGCCGGGGGTGGGGGGCTTACTGTCCAGTATTAGTATCCTCTGGCTGCCATAACAACGTGTCACAAACTGAGTGGTTTAGAACAGAACGTTTTTTACCCCTGGTTTGGAGGCTAGAAGTACACGTCACGGTGTCGGCAGGCAGCGTTGGGTCCTTTTTGGAGGCTCTGAGAGAGAATCTGTCCCACGCCTCTCTCTGAACTTGTGGTGGTTTTCTCTGGTCTTTGGTGATTGAACCCAGGGGTGCTTAACCACTGAGCCACATCCCCAGACGTTTTTATTTTTTATTATTAAAAATTATTATTTTTATTTTGAAACAAGGTCTCACAGAGTTGTAAGGCTGACCTTGAATGTGCAATCCTCCTGCCTCAGCCTCCCAAGTTACTGGGTCCACAAGTATGTGCCACAGCGCCCAGCTGGAAAGTGCTGGGTCTTAATAAAAATCATGAGATGCAGAAATGCGCGCCTCACTCTGTCCCCACCAACCCCGGTCTTCCCCTGGGGTGTGCTGAGCACACCCCACACCGTCCTCCACATACAGTTGACATTGGGAGAAAAAATATGAAAATGAGATCACACACAGCTGCCCCTACTAAAGAAGACCATGTGACTTGCTTTGCTTTGAACTGTGTCTTCCAAAGACACAGTTCCTCATAAACGTCCTTAAAGACAGGAGCGAACATCTCATGAGCCCTGTGCCACATGTACCCTGCCGTGTGGTCCCAACCAACCTCAGTCTCCCCCCTTGCCGTCTTCCCTGTAAAGGAAGAGGCAGTGCCATGGCATTTTCTAGACCTGGTGCCCAAAGGGAGCAACTCTACTCAAACAGGAAATGCCGTGTGGCAGGTGGGCATCGGGAACCTTCACCCTGATCCTGCCTGTCAGCGAGGTGTCAGGGATGAGGGAAGGGCCTGGGTAGGTGGTGGCTGTGTGCGGGGAGGGACTCGAACTCGGTACGATGCGTGACGAGCATCAGGGCCAATGAGAGAAGCCAGGCAGACACAAGGCTCAAGACCAGGCCACCTCTGCTCTGGGTTGAGAGTGGCCACCCTGGGGACAGAGGGTGTTACCAGGACGTGGGCACCAGCAAACTGGTTCCATATCCTGATGCAGGGAGAAGCTGACACACAGTTCGCTGAAATCCAAGCATTCGCCGTCTGCGAATCAGAACTCAACCGAGTTCTGGGGAAAGACAGCCAGTCAGTAACACCCCCAGGCAGGCTCACCGGAGGGCCATTGGTCCCAAGGCCTCATCTGGCACGTGCCGGGCAAGCGTTCTGCCACCGAGCTGCCACCAGCCCAGCCGAGCCCTCTACCTCGCTTCACCTGTGTTTGAGCTCGGTCTGCATCTGTGCCCCACGTGCCCCAGCAGCTCTGTGCTGACAAAGAGCCTTAAAAGCTGCCAACTTGTTCTCACCTCCTTTCATGCAACGAAGGAGGTTGAGGACTTTAAAAGACACGCACACGCACATGCACAACACACACACGCGCGCGCACGCACGCACACACATGCACACAAGCCCACACGCACACTCAGCCTTCATCCCCTGAAGTGTCCCTGGTGGTGCTCAGTCTCAAGCCTCAGGCCATTTTAGCGGAGCGGGAAGTGTGGGGAGAAGGGACGAAGTGGAACTGATTTGCTGGTGGAGAAAGTGCTCCGTTTCCCCAGGTGACACTCTCAGGCACTCTGGCTGCACTTGGGGAAGCGTTCCCAAGCCTCTCTCATCACAGTATCTAAACCAGCACGGTGCATGGTGCATGGTGTCACTTAACAGTTGCCGACCTAGTGAGCTGGTGAGAGGCCACACCCACCCGGACCCTCAGGACTGTGGCCGGGCTCCTGCCGCTCTCAGGCCAGCCACCAGCCTTTCCTCCTCAGATGACTTCAGAGACATCAGCAAACCATGGGACCAGGGAAGTTGCATTTTTATTGATCAGTAGGTCCTCGGGGCTTTCTTTCTGCCTTCGAGGCAAATTACAAAACATATGCACTTTGTGTCCTTGAATATTTTATAGATGGGGAATGAATGAACAGCCTGGTGCAAATTATGGATCCCTAGTATTCCATGGCGTAGAACTGGTAGGGCCCCTTAAATGATCCCCCTTCAACAATGACACCCCCAGCTGTTGGAGAAGGGGAGAAGGGGTAAGTGCCTCATGGCTGGGAGAACAAGGGCCAGGCTTATCAGACGCTCACACCTTAGTCTGAATTTTCCACCATTCATTTGCCAAGTATGAATCAGCTGCCTGCAAATCACAAGGCTTTTCTCCCCACCCCCCAATTTGGCAGCAACACTGCGGAGGAAGGAAAGAATGAAGAGGCTCTGGGGAAAGAACAGAAGTGGGGCTCCCTGGCAGGGAGTGAGCTGCTCCCCATTCTGAAGCCAGACCTCTGGCCCCTGAAGTGCACCATGAGGATGGCCCTGAGGCCTGGGAGGGATGGTGGCCCAGGGCAGGGCCCAGGGCAGGGGCCTGCAAGGGGTCAGTCTGTCCTAACAACAGCTTTGCCGCTGGGCCTGAAAGCGACTGTGGACAATACACAGAAGCAGGTGGCGTGGTGCGTGCCAGGAAGAGTTCACTGATGACCACAGAACCCCAGTTCCATTTGTCATGAAAAGTCTGGATGTTTTTGGTCCCAAAATTAAGAATGCAAACACTTCTTCACTCACAGGCCACAGGGAGCTAGGCGTGGTGGATCTGGAGCAGAGAACGCAGCGGATTGCGGATTTTGTTTACGGCACATTAATGCCTGAAGGTCCCCATAGTGAGGCAAAGGACGGTACCACCCAACCCAGTGTGTGAAAAGACGAAAGGGAAGCCGTGCGGGGGCCACGCCTGCGGTGGTCACCCCAGTGACCCGGGAGGCTGAGGCAGGAAGGTCGCAAACCTCAGCAACTCACAACTGGGTGAGACCCTGTCTCAAAATTGAATTTAAAAAGGCGGGTGCTGGGGTGTGGCTCACGGTAGAGTACTTGCCTGGGTCCTTCCCCAGCAGTGTGGCCCTGGACTGAAGGCCCTCGGGAACCTAAGCAACGCGTTTTCAACACTGCTCCCCACCACAGGGCGGCAGCTGGGCCTCCTCTTGTAACGTACGCAGGAAGCTCCTGAACAGCTGCATTGGGGGGGTGAGCCCCGAGGGGCCCTGCCTGCCACACCTGGGGACAGGAGCCACCAAGCATGCACCTGTGATTACGGAAACCACCGAGGGGCGCTGCAGGACACCTGGGCAGAGAGCAGGTGGCGCTGACCGGCAGGGATCCACCCAGGACAGGTGTGCAGCAGAGGT